CTCGGCCGCGGGCACGACGGCACGTGCCGAAGACTCGGTCGCACCGGCAGCGGGGGACGTCGAGGGCACATGAGACGAGGCACGGGCGGTAGGGACAGAGTGGCGGGCGTGAGGGCGAAGCGGGGTGGTCATGGGGTCAGGGAAAACATGGTTACGGTCGTGGCGAGCGATGCCATGTTTTGTGTGTTTTGCAGAACGACGAGTTTGGGAAGGCGAGGTGGTGGTGTTGCTTGGAGGTGACTCGGCACTCGGGCGTTTAGCACCGCGGACCTGGGTCCAAGAATCCTCGCCGCCGGACTCAGTGGCCATGTCCGCGGGGCAAGCAAGCGAGCAAGCGAGCGGACACGGTGGGAGCGAGGGCGCCGCCAAAACGCGGGCCGCAAAGAGCGGGGTTGCAGATTTTATCAACAGATGCCACAACAAGATGCCACAACAAGATGGTACAACCAGATGTTACACAACAAGGTGGGACAACATCAAGTACCAAAGGACACACTACGTGGTAAAGTATACCGTCTCAGATTGTGCCTCTAATAGACCTTGGTGAGATTGAGACTTATCTGGGCATGGAGTTTGCACGCAACGGTGAAATAAATAAATTAGGTGTTTGAACCTCAGAGCTGAAAGCAAAGCTGTGCAACCCCGACATCAAAATCACAACGGCACGCAAAACAACACAAGAGAACAAGTTACATTTATCGGCTTCTATCATGCCGAGGAGTACAAGCGCGAAGAACCACGCACATAGAAACAAAAATCGTACAAAACGACCAAGTATAACCAGAGATACGGCCATTCCAAACACTAGTCACCCAAAAAAGACAGGCATACATCACAAGTACAAGCATCACAGCACAAACACAAAGAACACCACGGCACGCTCACATCCAACGAGACACAACGTCGGATTGAGAAAACAACCGACCACAGAAGACAAAGACATCATACAAAGGACCTTACAAAAATTCAGCAAAAATACCACACAGATACAGCAAAAATTAAAGCAAAATCAGACAAAAATACAAGTCAA